GCCCAGGCCCAGAGTTCAAGCCCCATGACCGACAAAAATAAATAAATAAATAATTCTATCTTGAAAAACAAAAACAGTTTATGATAAAACCTTATATTTCAAAAACCCTACCTAAGCAGTTCCTCTTTTCCTTAACAAGAGCCAAACTACCAGGTTAAAGCAAGAACTTTTAAGCAACACACTTTGATAGAAAGGACAGTTTTTCCCACATAGTAGAGGTAGCCGATCGAGAGCTCTTTCCAAAGGCTTCATCTGCTTGGTCCAGTGGTTGGATGTAGAGGGGGGTCTTCAGTGGAGCCTGGCTGACCACCTGAGAGCCTGGTTGTAAGTAACAGCAGTAGACATGGAAGAGAACACACACACAGTATTCATTCCTCGTACATTTGAGCATCCAGAAAGATCAAGCATTGGAGTTGCAGAAGCAGTACAGATAAAACATCAAGGAGTTGGGCACCAGTGCCTCATGCCTGTAATCCTAGCTACTCAGAAGGCTGGAATCTGAGGCTGAGAATCGCCATTTAAAGCCTGCCGGGCAGGAAAGTCCAGGAAACTCTTATCTCCAGTTAACCACCAGAAAACAGTAAGTGGCGCTGTGGCTCAAGTGGTAGAGCACTAGCCTTGAGCTGAAGAACTCAGGGACTGTGCCCATCCCAGAGTTCAAGCCCCACAACCAACCAAAAAAAAAAAAACAGTAAGGAACTTGTAACACATGCCCAGTGAGCCAGGCCCTGTGTCCTTGGCTTGGGTGATCCCAACTAATCCTCAGAGTAGCTCATGCAGATTACCAGTCCCTATGAAAGAAAGAGAATGAGGCTTAGATTAAGAACATTGTCTTCAAGATATAGGGCACTAGGACAGGACCTAGTCAATGTGAGTCCAGCACCACCTTTCCCACAAGAAAATCCAGGTATAGGGTGGAGGTTGAGGGGGAGGACCCCCTCAGCCCCCACAGCCTGCAGAGTACAGTGATAGAGAAGTGTGAGTCACCTAGCAGGGGGCTACAGAAGGCCCCCTCCAGGAGCTCATCTATCATTTG